CACAGTTTCCTTAGACAGCAATTTCGGATTCTGTCCGGAGCACTTACCAGATTCTGACCATTTTTAACAACTGTGCTTTGTTTTCTTGTGTCGGTGAACCCAAAGCTTTCAAATCTTCTTGTCCCTAAACTGGAGTTCTAATCTGACCCAATCTGTTCTTGCTACTGATTGTGTGATTTCGAGATTACTATTCGGTGACTGTGAGGTTTCGGTAGTTGCGAAATGTTTATATTTGCTTTTAACGAATGTACTAATGTCCCTTCTTCATCTTCCTCCATTAGACCTCTAGACCCGCTGTCACCTACAAACTCACCACCAAAGGAGAGAGCCTACTTCTCCGACGGCTACGACATTGCGGAAGATAACGAAACCAAACGGACCAAGAAGGTCTACCGGCAGTGGGAACGGTCTTACGATACTTGTGCCTTCAACCTCACATCGGATGAGCTGGTGAGCTGAGCTTCATCTGGATAATGCCGCCACTTGCAATCACCTAACCTGCCTGCTTTCTTTTGTTATGTCGATGAGCATAGCCTTGGGTTTCCGTAGTCCATTAAGTAGGCACAAACTTTGGTCATAGAAAAGTCGAACGTTGCCAACGGTGTCAATAACTAAAACCGCATCCGAACTCATTTGGCTACCTAACTCAATGAGCGCCCCCTTAATGAAGCAATACTTGTGCGTGGCAAATGTATGAATGAACTGTACTCAACTGTAGGTCCTGACTAGCTTCAATAAAAAATGAACTTCCCACGTTTACATAGACTAAGTAGGTCCCAAGCTTTAGTATCTGATCCTTTAGGTGCTCGTGCCCGTCGGCCTGAATGGTAACGTTATAAGTGTTGCAAAACAGATAAATGTTGGTGATCTAGAGCCTTATAACCATACATAAAATGTTCGCTAAGCAAGTTACGAATCCTTAGAGTCTTGTGGTACGTTGGTTAGGGAAATTATGCTTGTATGCAAGGAGTTCTGTCAAAGCTTTTCCCAGTTTTTTTTTTGTTTTTTTTAAATTGTGGGGTAAGTTAGCGCTACTCGCCTCTCATATAAATGTACAAATAAATATATACTAATCAGACTCGCGTCTGCCCTGTGGTCTATTAATATATAAAACCGGTATTTAATTTTAGAAATCCCTTAAGTTGAAGGAAGGCCTTAATGAGGCAACGTTCACGGTCACCACCAAGTACCAAGGAACCGTTTGCTGTGAATGTTTGATTTACCTTTGGAAGTCGACTGATAAAGTTGTGATATCAGATATCGATGGAACAATAACTAGGTAAGAAGACTTTATTGATAAGATTTCATGTGAAATGCGTGCCGCTTATACTTGCCTCCTGTGTTTCTTAGGCATAATTAACCGACTCAATCTTGCAGAAAAACGCACATATTAGTCCTTTGATGTGTATTATGTGAGGTTATTATCATTTGTCATAACAACAGTAATAAAAATGGGTTCAGGAGCCAATAAAAATGACTTCTACGTAGATTGAACATTCAAGATCGCAGCTGATAATGCATGAGCCCTCGGCTTTTGCAGCAGGCTGTCTGGTCAGAAGGCCGCATAAGGTGGCTTCTCCACTTGGGCTTGAGATACGGCCGACCGGCGACAGAAAATAAGCCAGAATTTCTCATCCTGGTTGGCCTAGCTTTATCGGTCCTACTCTCCCATGGCTACTTGGTCCTCGGTATGTGACCAACTGTGACTTAGGAGGGTGCCAGAACAAAGGTTCAAGGCAAAACAGCACGCCCAAAAGTACACCCAACACAAACACGCACAAATTGGGTTGATTGCGAGGTTTGAGTTATCCCGTCAGTTAGCCACCTTCCAAGTCACGGTTTTTAGCACATCGTATTAGCTTCAAGTACGTCAGATTGTTCAAAGTGAGGAGGAGGCGCCGCGATGTCGAACACACTCTGTCCGTCACCCCACAACCTCAGGCCAATGTCCGAGCTGGTCCGTTGTCTCTTGTAGGGAATGAGCGCAGTGACTGACATTACTAATGACCTTATTATGGCTGCTAAAGCTCTAGCGACAATTCTAGTCATTACGACCTTCAGACTCGATCCCGAATAGGAAGTGAAGAAATGGAACATCCGTTGGGGGGAGGATGCTGTAAACTGTACAGAATATCTTGGAGAAGTTGGCAGCCGAGTGAGAGCAGGTCCTGAGTGAGCGAGAGTGGGGAATTCGCCACAGTGCCTTCGACGAGGGCATGCCGAATTCAGCCTTGAAAATGATTGGCGGTATGAACGGCTGTGATCGGCCGAGAACCAGACTGCCACTGCTGCGTACGAGCAAGTATTCACGAGAAGCGAGGCGCTGCATAAGGCGTCCGGAGCAGGGCCACATAGATGACCTGGCCCCGAAAACACAACATCAGAATTTCACACAAAACGGGGTGAGCGACTCGGCTCTCA